CACTTGCAACGCATTGGCACGTTCTGCCAGTGTCTGAGGGCGACGGTGACGTTTACGGACGCGTCGATCAAGTTTGTCCCATAGATGCTCAATCGGGTTCAGGCAATTTGGAAGGCCAGGGAAGGACATTGACGTTTGCACTGGCGAGATGGGCACCTGTTACACGAGCTATGTGGGCTCGAGAGTTATCATGTTGATACAGCTCCCTCCTACGGTGCAACCGTTTATAGGAGGTGAGGTCGCAGGATTTGGTCGATGTAGCGATTTGCTGAAAGATTGCCATGAACCACCACTCGCTCTGATCTACCCGTGTAGGTCAGTCTGGAAGTAACCCAGAGTACGGGGATGGTGACATCTACAAAATATTCAAGGCGAACTGGGATTCGAACCTTCTGTCATAGGTTCCGGTTGTGCCCAAGGGACGTGGCACTGCATACCAAGCTGGTGCCTTCCTTGAAACAATGACAGAAAAGATAATCTCTTGAATCTTTAACACTCGGTCCCAAAGTCAACCACACATAATGCTAGACGAAAATACCACGCAATATAACCTTGATAACCTTCATCGTTACCCTCCTACTGAGGATGATGAAACTCATAAGACCAAAAGGAAACTGATGCTGGATCACTGTAATGCTCTATATTTCACAATATGTTTGTGCATACACGTGTCATAGCGACTAATGCAGGAGAGCCACAGTCCAAAATTTCAAAAGACCAAAAGCTGCCTAGTCAAGACATTTGGGACTATATTGTAATGGTTTATATGACGCCAATCTCCATTCTTAATCCTAATCACCACCACCAGCATTGAACACTGTGGTGTCAACCGGCATGTACCTCTCTGTCACTTTCATTTATAGCCTTAATTGATCATCCTCTTGGCCGTGCCTGCCATCCAAGGCGGTGCCATTGTTTCTTGACCTGTCCAATGTTTTCTCTTCGTCTGTCCAAGGTTGTCTTGTAACCATGTATATGTTCATATCTACATTGTCATCAGTCCGGTATTCCGACTCTCTGTGTAGGGACGACCCCGCGCAGGATAATACATCTCGTAGGAAATGCCCTGGGGTTGAGCACGAATTCTGCTCACCTCATTTCTGTATGAGCCGAAAACTGATCGCACTGCATGGATGTGGAAAGGGTTTGTCGTTTCTGTTTGGTCATGTGATGTATAGCCAACTAAAGAAGTTTGGACTCAATGTAATCTTTTGTCTTCGTCAACGTATAATTCTGAGCTAGTTTCCGTGTCGACACCACATGTACACGCGTTGACACACGCAATACAAAAAGGCATCACAGAAATAATATATATTGTCAAGCCAGTGGGCGTGTTGAGTGCATATTCAGCAGTTCAGGGATATATGTCTCTTCTAAAATGGACAAATCACTTTTAAGAGGTCTGCTGAACTGTAGACATGAAGGAACAAAGTTTTGTGCAGTCATAATTTACACTAAGCAATATCTAAGAGAGGGAAAATATACCCTCCATATCTCAATCGATAACACTTGTTCATTTACTTAAGCTTGAACTAATCAGTCCTCATCATAGTTACAGTTTACGTCCTCTTTCTAGACAACAAAAAAGTCATCTGTTGTAGGCATTAGGGAAGTTGCAAAGTCGTTAATGACGCACCCCTGCACCCGCGCCTGGATTAATTTGGATAGATGTATACATATATCGAATAACCTCTGCTTTGTGTTACGGATTAAAAACCTTAAGTAATCACTTCCATTTCTGAAACATGAAATACTCATTCAATAAAAAAGCAGTAGGTTCAGATGACAGAGTGTTAAAATAATTTAAAACCACAGAACTAAATCTGTCTAAGCCATTCGAGAGCCTGTCTAGATTACATCATATTTTCCAGATGACGAGACAAAATCTAAAACTGCCCGTTGCACAGACCCATACATGATATTGGGGCCCAAAACTGTTGGGGCCCAAAATGAAAATACATCATCAACCTCAAGTACAGCACTTCTGACATTATGTCTTATGTTGTTATGCCCAGGGCATGTAAGTAGATAATGTTCGATATTTTCAGGCGTCTCCAAATTGCAATGGCCACATTTAGAAGAGACCGTCTTATCTATAATACTCCTGTAAGCATTTAGCCCACAGTGTCCAAGTCTTGGACGTGAAAGAATAACCTCATCACGCCTTTTACGACGACGAATTTTATGACCAGATTTTAAAGATGGTCTAAGTTTGTACATATGTCGGCCGGTAGTACGTGTATTCCACAACTGTTGCCAACTCCTTGTAACAGATTTCGATAAAACATTTTCAAAATCTTTAGGAATTGGTTGAAATTTAAATAAATCAACTTCAGGAAACTGTAATCCGGATTTGGCCAAATTATCTGCAATCTCATTCCCATGTATTCCAACATGAGCTGGGACCCACACAATGTCGCATGCAATGTACTTCATGTTTAAAGATGTATCCAACTTTAATATCTCATGAACAATGTCATCTCTAGATGCATCTGCACCAGCTTCTATAGCTTTGATTGCTGCCATGGAATCTGTAAAGATAATTGCTTCATGGTCATGTTCATCTACCCATCTCAGTGCTTGCAAAATGGACAAAAGTTCAGCTGCAAAAACAGAAAGATAATCCGGGAACACCTTAGCGATCGATAAATTGGGTATCCAAAAAGCCCCAGCAATACGATCATTGGATGGTTCTTTCGATGCATCAGTGTATATATGTGTGAAATTAGAATAATTTTCAGACAGAAAATCTTCAGTTATCACTTTTATTATGTTTTGGTCCATTCTCTTATTCATGATTGAACTGAGTTCAGAATTCAAGCCAGACTTCAGAAGAAGGCACGGAGGTGTGACAGGTGGAGCAGAAGGATCAACTGGGTTACAGTTGGAAATACCATGTTGATCCGCTAATCTCAAAGGGTAATTTGCCATGAGTCCAGTCTCACATGAAATATTCCACAAAGTCATTAACAATCTCAGTGACTGCATGGTGTTTGTTCTTGGTTTTCATTTTTAAGAAATATTTCAAAGATACCTGTTGTCTTCGAAGGTGAAGGGGCATTTCTGAACATTCAACTTGAAGCGCTGAGGTTACAGTTGTAGAATAGGCCCCAGTGCATATTCTCAAAGCTTTAGACTGAATTCGATCAAGCTTATTAAGATGACATTTAGCTGCAGACATATGCACCAGGCAACCATAGTCAAGTCTTGACAAGATAAAGGCCTTGTACAGCAATAACATAGTTGACTTATCAGCACCCCTCTTTGTTTTTGAAATACACTTTAATAGATTGATGATCTTGTTACATGTGTTATACAAATGTGTGATGTGATGAGACCATGTTAATCTTTGATAAAAATACACACCAAGAAATTTGAACACTGACACCATTTCCAGTTTATGGTGTCCAAGAGTTAGATTGATATCATGAGGGATCTTACGTCTTGTGATCATCATTGCAACTGATTTTGATTTTGAAATCTTAAACCCCATTTTGAACACCATGCACTGACTTTACTTAAGCAGTTTTGTATAGATTCTAAGACAAACTGAAAGTACCAAAGCGTCTCCAAAACGATCCGACATCAGAAAACTGTGCTGCATTTATGTTTTGAGGCAGGTCCTCGAAAATGTCATTGATCATGATATTGAATAAAACTGGACTTATTACACTTCCTTGTGGGGTACCATTTTCAATCATATGCACGCCTGACAGTTCTTAACTTATGCGAACTTGAATGGTTCCAAATGACCATATCCTCTTGAACATGTTGCCTCTAATTCCAAGTTTCCACAATTTAAAAGCAAACCATTTCTCCAAGTCATGTCATAACCCGAGAAGCCATGTGTGGAAATTCAGAGTTATCCCTCCTTGGAAATACTCCTAGACTATTTTCATCTCCGTGACCGTTTGCGCTGAGACAAGGCCCAGTCGTCAATCTGGCCACGAGTGGGGTACGCTTCGCCATCCGGCTTGCCAGAATGACACGAGTAGTAACGAATGGTGTTCCCATCTGAACGACCCAGTCGTTCAATTTAAAATTACGCGTTTCAGCTTGCCCGTGAAACATTCTGGCCTAAACAATGATATTTAGCCGAATTCAGTTAGACTGTGTCGTCTATCCGAATTGTATGTGTATCAATCATTTATCAAGGGCATAACTGTAATGAATCGTGAAGAGGAAAACCGACACGGTGCTTGTTGGTCCTTGTAGGAATGTTTCAGTGTTCCAAAAGTGACCACTGCACTGTCAGTTTACAACGCTACATGTAGTTATGGACATGTGTCTTTTCGCACCTATTACATGACATCGTCCTCAGGGTACCGTTGTACAAAACAACCTCAGTGCTATGACTGTAGTAAGTCTATTTTAAGATATGGGAGTTTCGATCACCTTAGCCTGAAGATCGTTTTGTACAACGGCACCCATACGAGTTATAAACAACCATGAATTTTGCATCATCAGATTTAAATGTAAAAGTTTTGTGGATCATACACTCAACATTAGGTAATTCGTATTAAACTCGTTTAGTATAAAACTAGCTTGCTGTTGGAAAAGTCGACTAAATTTCTAGACAAAGACTTACAATTTCTTCAAATATTTACTTTGAATATTTCTCAACATTCATGCACAGGATTTTCACAATTGAAATGTTGGCAGACACAACTTATGATATTCCGCTGTGAAACAATTTCAATAATTTAGGCGTATCTCAACTTTAATTTTTATTTGGTTTAAGCTGTTAACGTTAAAGGGTAGAGGAATATATTCAGTGAATACATGATTTTTGTTCCTAGTACGAGTCTCTGCATGGTATGCTCAAATGAAGAGTACATGTACACTGATGTCACCATGATACTTGATGGTTGCGTTGCTCCTTCTCCGTTTGCTGGACCGGAGCGGTTTGTGCAAATAGTTTACAGGTGAATCTTGGTTTTTAATATGAATTTTGTCTTTTGTTAAAAAACAAAGCAGGTGGAATAATAACTGAAATACTTCAGTAATATTTTTAAAAAGCTGCATGGATAGTTTGATGTTCCATTTGTGATTTCATTGAATGTCGGCAATAAATGTAGAACATTATTTTTGTGCAATAGTGACAGATTTCCGTGTGCCGATGGATTTCACACACTGAATGATCACTGGGAAAAAGACGACACCCACACCCGCAGAGCCGAATATCACCAAAGGAAGATCATATGATCCAGTCGAGTCATACAGCGTCCCTGTAATGGAGGAGAAACATACGTTACCAAATATGATTACCTTCAAATAACCGAACCTGGTGAACAGCAGCTTCCAGGTACGAATGCCATGTGCTTAAAGGTCACATGCAACCAAAAAATCAAACATAATTAAAACACAATTATCACTTCTTCATGACATATAATATGCATTGCTGATTATGAAAAAACAAATAAACAAAATTATAAGCGTATAATCGCAAATCAAAAGTGCAATATTTTGTACTTGGGTTTACCTCCCTCGAAACGAAGCATCCGGGATACCGAACCCAGTCAGAGCGGGTGGGTGTGCACTCAAGAGTAACGGCTGGTTCATTTGCAGATGCTGCCCTCATGCACGGCTCATTGTGTGTGTATATATAGAGATGTTGGGTTTTGTAAATACATGCTCATTTTTTGTGTATAACATTTTGCAATCAACAGACATCATAACATGTCATGTGTTCAAGTATCACACCTGCCTGTGTGTGTAATTACATAATGTGACAGAGACCGAACTCGGGCCATAAATCAATGCATTTTGTTTATGGTGTATAGCCTGATTGGTGTTAAGTTCAAATTGCATGTGGTCAGTGATCGCAGTTGTGTATTGAATATTGTCATTAGCAGACAGGCAGGCAGACACACAGGTGTCAATAAAACAAGACATTGAGATTTGTCTGTGACAACGACATATCTATATCACAGTTAGAAATTCTGTCAACGCTAAATAATGACATTGCTTTTAAGTATCGAACTGAGAAAGTGTCTCGGTAAGAAGAACGTGTGGTGAAATAGACAAATGAAATTATATAAACAGTTAATTTACTGTCATAACATATAAAAAGCTCGCGCCTGTGAGATATCAACAAAACATTAGAAAAATAGCTCATACCAAAGCCTTCACCGAGTATTCACCCGACAACCCGCTTCCAAGCTGCGCGAACCTATTTACTTGCGCACGTGCTATGAGCGCAGCCCAGCTGTTGAAACCCGTTTTCCCCAGAAAAGTCGGGGGAAAATTAGTGAAACGTTTGAACTCCGATTTCGCGCGTTTTTTTCATCGCGTTATTTTTCAACTTTATAAGTTGAATTTGCATTTTTGACGATTTGTTTCAGTAAGTCCATACCGAAAGGTATCGGAATCTGCTTTTACGTTGCATGTGACCTTTAAGAAATCTCGTTCCATTCTGTGTTTACCGGGGATGGGGGTATTGTTGCATGTGTCCAGGGGCTCCTTTCACGAAGCAACCTTTACTAAGGTTAACCTTAAGTCCCATTCTTAACATTGCACTAAGGTACAATCACCTTAGTGCTTTGTGAAAGGAGGCCCAGAGACAGACATATTCCTAAGGTACCGACGCCCACCACGGAGTTGTTGGTACTGTAGTACGGACAACGTGGTTTGAATATGTCAGTAATAATAATAAAATCGAACAGAAAAATAGTTGCAACATAAGCTAGACTTTAGACTGGAGACGTCGGCAGCAGGGTACAGCTGTACTCTGCAGCGTCCGTTCTGGTCTTTCTGGACGGATGATGATGTACTTCCGTTAGACTCGTACCCGTGAAGATCCGGGTTAGAATTGAGTGAGTGAGTGAGTAGGGTTTTGCGCCGCTTTTAGCAATATTCCAGCAATATCACGGCAGGGGAACACAAAATGGGCTCCACATATTGTACCCAGTTAGAATTGATCTTCATGTGTGTCGTGCGAGGCGACTAACGGGATTGGGTGGTCAGGCTCGCTGACTTGGTTCACACATGGCATCGTATCCCAATTACGTAGATCGATGCTCATGCTGTTGATCACTGGTTTGTCTGATCCAGACACGATCATTTACAGACCGCCGCTATATAGCTGGAATATTGCTGAGTGCGGCTTAAAAACTAAACTCACTCACTCACTCCGTTTGACTCAACCTCAGCCGAGATGTACAGACACAGTAGCATACAACTCAAAACTATTTTACTGGGAGTCCGTGAGTTTGCGCAGTTTCCTCGCAGGGCTCGCCAACTAATACGTTTCAACACAGAGAGAGTACGAACTTGTCGTGATATATTTTAAAGAGTGTATAAACAAAATATTAGGGCAAGTGATCTCAATATTCATTGTCGAGTGTACCCCCCGGTTGGATCAAGTGGGCTGTCGTTAGACATATCGTCCTTATGTACTATGTAGCTTAACAGATAAGTGCCAACCTAGAATGACTTCTCTACAAATGATTGCTCCATTTTGGGCAGGTGGTTCACAACATGTGAAATATTCCTCGTTGTCGGATGACCAGGTTACGAACTGTGACGACCAGGCCCTCCTTTCATAAATCACTAAGGTGATCGTAAGTCACTAAGGTAACCTTAGTGCAATCTTAAAGAATGGGAGTTAAGGTTAACCTTAGTAAAGATTGCTTCGTGAAAGGAACCCCAGATCATTACCAGAAGCCTTTACCACAAGCCTAGCTGTGACTTTGAGAACTAAACGTATTACCCATTAGTATTCCTAGCGTTGTGTTGGAGGCGCCAGTGACTAAACCGCCAAGGCCCATTGACACAGCATACATGTCTTCCCCAACCACTTCCAGGATAACTGAAAGGATACGAGCTGTTAGATTAGCATTAACCTCGCATGATAAGTAGACTTCCGGCTGTGCCGTGATATACTAGACTACAATAGACTCGCACAAGCAGTAGACTGCCGTGAGTGCATGTTATTAAAAGAATAAACGGTAAAGAACAGGTCCCAAACTCCACTGATATAACAGGATTTGAGAGTCGTACATTTTGTGCAGAATTGATCAACATAAGACGTCACAGATGTCTTTCACAAACAGCACAGATCGCATCTGTATTCCAGTAGATGGAGTGTCTGCCCGTATAGTGGAAGGGGTTGCGTCGAACCGATAACCTACATCCTACAAGCACTGTGAAAGCGATATTAGTCTGGCTGATACACACAGACGCTATATAAGTACAACGGTATTTAAAATGACCATAACCCCAATGTCGCATCTGTATGACTCACCAATCCCAAGGGTCGCTATCATTCCGCCTGCACCCAGTCCATAAACTGTGAAGCAGGCAACTATCGTTCCATAGGAGTCAGCCCACGATAACACTACCATAGAGCCACTGGACACCATCACTGACATACAGAACACATGGAAGGTCTTCACTCCCGGGATCATCTGTACTACACCTGCCATAAAACGCGTTCCAGTGCTTGTCCCATTGATTATCAACAACAACATTATTCCCGTTTCTGCAGACAGGCCCCTTGAGATGCCAAAGTCAACTGCAATCAAGAGAGTTGCCGAGTAGGAACCAAACCCTATCAAGGCACACAACAAGTAAGCCCCATATAAGGGATCCAACAGTCGGCGATATTTAGATGTGGCCTTGGCATTTGTCTTGTTTTGGATCCAAGATGTAGGTGGTACGCCAAGTGATGACGTTACTAGAAGACCTGATAAAGCAACATTCAGGTAAACACCACTTATTATAAGAAGTGCCCCCCTCCAGCCAAATTCCTTTTTGAATTCCTGCAAGATATTTGGGAAAATTATTGACCCAAGCCCACCCGATGACGTCAGTAGTGCTAATGCAAAGCCCTTGGCTCTTGGGTCACGAAATGCCAATGTTACGATGACCATGTTTGATAGATACATCATGCTGGATCCCCAACCTGAAATCCAAAATCACGAATCAGCCAGAAGTAATGGTCACACTTAACAACAACTGGTTAAAAGGGAAAGGTATTTACAGGTGTTGCTGAACAGATACATGGTGAAACGTATTGCATTAGTGAAACAGAATATACCATTCATAAAAGTAGGGGATATTGGATTTACAAGATTGATAAAATGCAAAGGATGAAGCCAAGGAGGAAACAGGTGATGAAGAGAAATTAAGGGAAAATATGTCTATTTATTCCATTCCTTTGGAAGTGTTTCATCTGGATGGATATATATTATTTTTGCTCATATACATTGTTGATGCACATTATTTTTTATATCATTACATCCTGTGACACTGGGGCGGTGAGTTAGACGAGTGGTTAAAGCGTTCGCTCGTCACGCCGACCACCCGGGTTCGATTCCCCACATGAGTACAATGTGTGAAGCCCATTTCTGGTGTCCCCCGCGGTGATATTGCTGGAATATTGCTAAAGCAGCATAAAACTAAACTGCCCCACTCACTCGTGTGACACTGTTTTAACAGTGAAGAAATTCAGAGGCACGGGGATTCTGTCATCTGATTCGCTACAACTCGTTGTGGAGAGTTACGTCTATGGCTAGCTGTGTGGGTCAGGTGATGAACAGTAAAGATAAATGCTTCAAGCAACAGGAAATTGATGTTGGACGCACTTGTTGAGCATATAGCTTTTCGTTTCACTCGGGTAATAAATTTATGCATAAAACTACTTTCAAGACGTCTACAAATGTATGCATAATCAGTTTATAATTACGCGAACAGACTCGTGAAAATCACTTGCAATGACAGTATCAATAGACGTACACAAAGTATGGTATATACCTGTATCAGCTAAAATTATTTTAATCATGAATCGATGACTCACCCATTACCATGCCGACAGATATAACAGTGAAGATGTAACCTGTTGAAAACCAGCTGGCAAACAGTCCAAGAGAAGCCAAGATGCTGCCTGAACACATCACTGCTCGGATACCAAACCTCTGGATAAGGAAACCATTCACAAGACCTAGTGGTGAAAAATACAATCTATTTTGGGTCAACCTCTGATTGCGCAGGTAGAGCAGGAATTTGTTATTGTTTCTTGTATTTTTTCTTTAGGCTCGAATATACCCTTGGATGTCTGTGACGTAGACTCACTAATAATTTTACTATATAAATGATGTCTTATGACCAGTCCTAAATGATGAGAGAAAATAACCTGCCTCCCATGAATGTCAGTCCAGCTGTTGCTGATTGGATGACTGCTGTTTCAGCACGTGTGGTTTGAAAATCCTCCAACCAATCAATGAAGAGGGCACCAAGTGAAAAAGCGAATCCCATACAAACGAAGATGTTGAAACATCCACCAAGCAGGGTGACGATTTGCCGAGAGAACTGCCTGGATCCTGTCTTCTTCTCCATCTGCGACTCCTCCCTGGTACAGGAAATAAACCAGTAGTTTCCAAAGGAAGCCCTTCTCTCTTTACACGAAATATTGGATTTTGTTTAGAAATGTAATTTGCTTCTCAGGAATGTATGCATCATAGATATCTAAGAATGAATATGAAGACATTCATTGATTCATTGAAGATATGTTACCATACCACTTACATATAAACCCAAACACACACGTCTGAATGTACTACCTCATTTTTGTGCCTTGAGAACCGTCATCTATGATGAATAGACGAGGCTCCATTTCTAGTTCATCCGGAACATATGCAACATTGTCATAATCTTGAACAAAGGCTTTGTCTTTTGGGATTTCTGTAGCCACGTCTTTCACGATGCAGAGATGTTCATCTGTTCTTGACAGCGATGCATTATGAGTTAACGGTCTACAAAGAAAAAAGTCGGAAACATATTGAATTAAATGAATCAGAATGTTTGAATTCTACAGGCCCATTTCCAATCGTGCCTCCGAATGAAGACATGTGTTCTGTTGCTGTCTACTAGATTATGGTTCCACTTTAGTTTCAACCGCATAATGGTCACCTTTTCTAATGACACATCATGGTAATTCTTAAGTAATGTTGTACAAGCTTAACCTACAGTAGATGCTCCATATGTCTTGCTAATGTTGCATTCTGATGTCGGTCTCATAAGGAAAGCGTCTGTAGTTGGACTTTGGACGGTGGTTTATTATGATAACACATATTGGATTAACCTTTGTCTCGGTCATTATTACTGCAAGAACGCCACTGCAACCTGCCAATGGAAGGACACTGGACAGTATTACTTAGGCAACATACTAGTACATTTGTTGGTGTCGTTTGCCACATTTGTCTCTTTTATCTTTCAAGACGATAAGGAATGAGCCCACACTACTCGTATCGTAACCGAATATCCAAAATAGCACCAGACTTCAATGGCCAGCAATGTGCCCTGACCTGTATTGTGAGCATGTCTCTGACATGACCATGAGATGTGTATGTGATATGGCCTTAGGGCCAGGTGTTGCAAGATGAGTGGCTTAGACTCACTCAGATTGTTATTGAGAGGTTGACCGTGTACCCGAATGCTTGAAAGATCGTGGGGTCATTTTTTTACACATTATACCACTGTCCTCTTTCTTGGTTGTTTGCATCCTAACAATACATCAATATATTGTTCTGTTGATTTTCATGTTACATGCAGACCTTTCTTTTCCTTATCCGCACCTCTTTGCCTTTCTGAGACCATTTGTTATTTTCGGATATCTCTTTTTATTTGGGAAATATAGTTTTGATTATGTTTCCACAGAAAAAATCGTTTGAACAGAACTTCGAACTTACTCATTAATAGAAACTGTTCACACATCTTACACTGACAATTGACATACACGTAATTATGTTAATTTTGTAATCAGGTAATATATAAACGTTATTTACCTTTCCTCCATCCTATAGTCATTGCTCCTACTGGGAATATTTGTGTACCGATCTGTTTCATCTTCCTTTGAACTAATGTCCCCGTTTTCTTGGAAGGTACACGACCTTGTTTTGCTTATGATTGACGACATAGTACCATTGTTTGGTTGGTGAACATCATCAGGGAATTCTGGATGTACATCTTTCCCAGCCGTTTCCCAAAAATGTCCTGGAGAAATACTTTCCGCAGCCAACCCAGTTGAAAGGTAACCCGAGCAAGCCATTACACCATCTTTTCCAACAGGTAGATTTTTCCTTTCCAGCGCCCCTTCCATGCTCATACGTGCTGCATCTGCACCAGTGGAATTCGGAACCTTCATAGTTCACCCACCGTCTTTTCGTTGACCTGGTTTGATATCGGTGTTCTGGTACCACTCACTTAGTGTCAGCAGTTCTTGTGCTTATGTCAGAATATTCTCAAAGAAATACTTTCAATATCAGGAAGAATTGACTTGCTGTTATCTATAACACTTTTCTCAACGTTATATACGTGTATACGCATAGTAAGAACTAAAACACACTAATGACATTGCACAAACTAAGGTCGTCTTACACAACTGATTAAGTCTGAAGCACGCACTCATGTTCATGAATTTTCCCTCTCAAATTGACTCAGTAATTACTCTGCAGTACTACTTGTATTTAATGTCCAAATCCAGTAAATTTGATATTACAATTTATGGTTCAGTGTCACTTATTTGGTTGAGGAGGAAATTCTGTCTTTTTTGATCTGGTTGAAGTAGAAAAAACGTTTTTTTAGATAGAAGTGAGATTTTAAACGAAGGAATTAGAAATTCAAACCAACAAAGAAATTAAGGTGAGTCAATTCAGTTCGACGAATGATTTTTCCGTCTCAGTTCCTCAACAGGGGACAGATCGTTTGATCTTTACAGGCACATCTGATAACGGGTACAGCTGTCACAACCAGAACCAATGAATACACAGTGCCGTTTAGAAACTTTGTGTGCTGACGATTAGATGTGTAGCTCTGAGCGTGTGGGTTCGAATCTGGCATGAGACTCAACTGAAGAAAAAGTACTAGAATCTGTACTTTACTAAGAAAGCGTAATAAAATATGTAACATGTCGAAGGAGAGTACTCACATTTTGGCTGTTGAAGAACCCTAGTCACAATCGTTTTAGGCTATGCCAGAGTTCAAAGGCAAATGGTGGAACTTTGTTTGGAACAGCAGTTGTCAGGCTGCTTTTGAGAAGATTTAGGTCATTCTGTCATCAGTTACACATTTGGGCGATGATGATGATGATGATGATATACCTGTTCCTGATGCAGCGGGCTATTCTGATGGTGATGGATCTGACAGTGACTGGTTTGAAGACACTCATTGTGTATTGATGTATCATTGTAACGAATTCCTCAATATTTATTTGTCCACATACAGTCACATATCATCTCCTGGTTCTCTCTCTGTCTTCAGTTTATTACACAGAAATACCCATAGCCATGCCTAGGTATATGGGATGCAGGCATACATGTTAACGTGTCCGATTACAAAGGAAGATTTCCAGCATGCTCGTGAAATATTCAGACCCTCTTTCGTCAACCCTATATAATTCAGCATAACTGTGTTGTCTTTCCACTTGGTTATGTACCAGACATGCTATCAATGCTGTAATTGTCGCCTGAATCGTGAAGACACAATGGTTGTCTAGGATTTAACGTCACATCGGCAATATTTCAGCCATACCGTGACGAGAACATTCCAGACATTAAACCGACATATTTCAGAAGTGAATGCGCACTGTTAGTCTGGTGTTATGATAGGCCAACTTGGACAGTGATGTAAATGTGTATGTTTGCACTCGTTATGTGATATCGTTCAAGACACATTCCCTTGAGACAACAGTCATCGACACGCCGGATGCTGCCTCTGCCAGGAACCTAAACAATGCCTCGGTTCGCTTATCCCCATGTCATCTTATGAAAAAGCAGTGAGTGAGTGAGTTTCGCTTTACACCGCACTCAGCAGTATTCCAGCCTAATGGCGGGGGTCTGTACATGGTGGAGTCTGGACCAGACAATCCAGTGATCAACATCATGAGCATCGATCTTTGCAATTGGGATACGATGAACCAGGTTAGCGAGCCTGACCACCCGATCCCGTCAGTCGCCTCTTACGACAAGCATGGGTTACTGAAGATCAATTCTAACCCGGATCTTCACGGGTCATGAAACAGTAACAGTTTCATGGATCACCAAACAAATCACAAAAGAATACCCAATTTATATTCAAATGTATGGCATGAAACTGGCTTTCGAAAAAATACATTTAATGTGACAACCAAGACTCATTTAACTCACCTTCATGCAAATATACAGTGCGAATTGTAGAATGCTGATACATATTCCGATAACAATCAATTTCAATCAATCCGTCATTTCTCAGATTTCATTGTCATCTAATTTAGTCTTCGGTGTGCATGTTAAAGCTATAAACTTACTGGATTTTCGCGTATTTAGGGAATATTTGTTGAGTTCTAAAGGGAACGAGTCAGTGCACCATGATGTAATCCAATACGTACTCTGGCATAACCCTAATGCTGGGTAGGGCCTGCTCTTTCTATGTTTATTGGCCCGATTCCGTTTGCACAAATTGGTTTGCCACATTTATATATCTTGTGAATGAAATATTTATTGCTTTCCAAAAGATAGGATTGATATTTTCTTTGCTGGTTTTGACTTCGTCGTCGATATATGTACAAATCATAACTGCAACAGATATGTCTCTAGTATTTTAAAAGAATATGAATTGAACATGAATTTTGTCTTTTGTTAAAAAAAACAAAGTAGGTGAAATAATAACTGCAACTGAAATATGTCACTAATATTTCATGAAGAACTGGATGCATAGTTTGATGTTCCATTTGTGATTTCAGTGTATGTCGGCAATGAATGTAGAGCCTCATTGATGTCCAATAGTGACAGATTTGTGAGTTCCAATGGATTTCACACACTGGATGATCACTGGGAAAAAGGCGGCACCCAAACCCGCAGAGCCGAATATCAGGAAAGGCAGATCATAGGATCCAGTCAAGTCATACAGCGTCCCTGTAATTGGGAAGAAACCAAATGTTAAAAGTTACCAAATATGATTACCAAAAAAAATCCAAACCTTTTGCACAGCAAAATATTTTCACTTGCCAAGGTCAATATAATATATAAGGTTTGTTGCAATTCTCGGTTTGAAGTTCAAGGAAATCTTGTCAGATAATCACTTACAATAACACATAGCCAGATGTCAGCGAAGGAATGTAATGTAATAACTTATAAGTGTATATTGTTTCACACCTTAAAATATACCAAAGCGTTCTCAAAACATGGGCGTGCAGTCCAGTGATTGAGATGAACAATTCTCCACACTGTTCATTTGTAGTAGGCCTTACCACAAGCTCAGTGGTGACATAGAGCCCTAAACGTATTACCCATTAGTATCCCTAGTGCTGTGTTGGAGCCTCCAGTGATTGCCCCGCCGAGGCCCATGGACACAGCATACATGTCTTCCCCAACCACTTTCAAGACGACTGCAAGGAAACATGTGGGTTAGACTAGCTTTAACCCAGTATGAGAAGAAGACATTTTTGCTGACCCACCGCACCCCACCCCACACTAAAGCAAGGCACACACACGGACGCACGGACGCACGGACGCACGCACGCACGCACACACACACACATTGACACCACACTTGGTCGTTGCTATATATATAGTATACTCTTTAACAGGACATTAATTCCCATTTCACCAGTGTTACATCTGTGTCACTCACCAACTGGAAATGTTGCCACCATCCCGCCTACAGCCAGTCCGTATACTGAGAAACAGGCAATTATCATGTCATAGGTGTCCGCCCAAGATATCACTACCAGAGAGCCACTGGACACCATCACTGACAGACAGAACACATGGAAGGCCTTCACTCCCGGGATCATCTGAATAAAACCTGTCACAATACGCGTTCCAGTGCTTGTCCCATTGATTATCAACAACATCATTATTCCCGTTTCTGCAGACAGACCCTTTGACATGCCAAAGTCTACTGCAATCAAGAGAGTTGCCGAGTAGGAACCAAACCCTATCAAAGCACACAACAAGTAAGCCCCATACAAGGGATCCAACAGTCGGCGATATTTAGATGTGGCCTTGACATTTGTATTGTTTTTGATCTCAGATGTACGTGGTACGTCAAGTGATGACGTTACGAGTAGACCTGATAAAGCAACATTCAGGTAAACACCGCTTATTATAAGAAGTGCTCCCCTCCAGCCAAATTCTGTCTTAAGTGCAGTCAAGATGGTTGGGAAAATCATTGACCCAAACCCACCCGATGACATCATAAGCGCCAAGGCAAAGGCCTTGGCCCTTGGTCACGAAATGCCAACGTCACGTTGACCATGTTTGATAGATACACCATGCTAGAACCACAACCTGAAAACCAAAACCTCAAAATTAACTACAAAATAAGTCATGCGATGATCATAATTAACAGTTAGATAAAGGGGACAAGTATTTCAAATCTAAAACAGAGTACTAACTATGTTGAGTGTAAAGACAAAGGAGAGTCATCATGGATTAAAAAGGCCTTCACTCCCAGGATAATCTGCATAAAACCTGCCACAATACGCAATCCAGTGCTTGTGCCATTGATTATCAACAAAAACATTATTCCCGTTTAAACAACACACACACACACACACACACACAGAGTTTTTATGTTTATTCTACAGGTGGTGATTTCAATGAGTTATAAAACTTCATGGAGGAGGATGCACTCTGTATAATTCAAACATCACTGATTATCTGGCACATCCAATTTCCATACTACACTGAAAGGAAAACGGCATTGTGACAACAAACAGAACCAGTGTGAAAGTTTTACTACTGACTGAGATGATGACGTTACCTACAGTGTCAGATGCAACCAACACAACCAGTGTGAAACTTTTACTACTGATGGACATGATGACGTTACCTACAGCGTCAGATGCAACCAACACAACCAGTGTGAAACTTTTACTACTGATGGAGATGATGACGTTACCTACAGTGTCAGATGCAACCAACACAACCAGTGTGAAACTTTTACTACTGATGGAGATGATGACGTTACCTACAGTGTCAGATGCAACCAACACAACCAGTGTGAAACTTTTACTACTGATGGACATGGTGACGTTACCTACAGTGTCAGATGCAACCAACACAACCAGTGTGAAACTTTTACTACTGATGGAGATGATGACGTTACCTACAGTATCAGATGCAACCATTGAGATCACTCTGGATGCAAACATTTCAGTTGGCA